GGGGAGCGAGGCAGGCAGCGGCCCTCTGCCTCTCCTGTGCGGGCATCGGGCTCCGCTCTTTGCTCTCGGTGCCTTCTCTTCCCCGAGCCAGGCCGGGCAGCGGGCGCCCTGCTGGGACTCCGCCTTGTGCTGCCAGTGAAGTGTGAGGTCGTGCTCGGCGTGAAGCCTGACCGGAGAACGGGCCCCTCTTTCGGCCCTGGGAACAGATAACTTGTGTAAAGGGCCCTGTAAAGAAAAGGACCAGAACTTAATGGGAATTCTCTTTCTGCCTGCTTGTTAGTTATACTAATGGGTTTTATTTTGTTTGTTCTAGTTTCGCAACCAGTATGACAATGATGTCACAGTTTGGAGCCCGCAGGTAAAATCTTTATAAACTTGCTAACTGGCTTTCTACTTGCTTTTGGTTTTCCTTCACTCTTGCAGCAGTGGTATCATAATATGGTATTTAGGTGTCTTAAGCCTACTGCAGCCTCCTCCCTTCTTATTTTGTAGGCTGTAGGCGTCTAAGAAAGCCACTAGCGCATCTCCAAACTTCTGGTGTGTGAACCTGAATGATGTTTACGTGGGCTCCATTATCTCAAAGTACCTAAAGCAGTTGCTTTCTGGATGTACATGTGAGCTAAAAAACAGATGCTATCATTGCTGGGGATTGGACTTGATGGTCTTTGAAGGGCCCTTCCAGCCCAAATCATTCTGTGATTCTATGGGCGATTTACAAACCTATAATGAAAAGTTGATAAATAAGGTATGAAAAAGAATAGAACTGAGCTTAAATCTCCCTAGGGTTAGGGTACTGCTAGGTCATTCTCTTGTATTCACTATTGGACAGGAACTGTTCAGTTTGCAGGTGTGAAGCACTTTTTGTTATTAACAGCTTTTCTGTGGTATTTCGTGCTTAAGTGAGAATGCGCTGGCTTTTTCAAGGATGGTGTAGCAGCACTTGTTTCTCTTTTTGAGCATACAGTTCTTACTGCCTTGTAAGCCCCTGTTTGAGTGCCTGTACCCACAGGGTAATCAGAGGCATGGAATCTGAGACACTGATTTTTGTGGTATGAATTCACAGATCTTACTTTTCTAAATTGAAATGGTCATACACATCCCTGTTGAATAAATATCATGTCTAAAGATTGTAATTATAAAACTGAGAGCTAGAACATGTAAGCAATTAAATGCCATATCATTTTGTAACGCAGTTTACGTTGTGCTTCAATTATGAAGCCTGGGCAGCTGTGTCCCTGGTTTGCTGTGTTGTAGAATGTTAGGAAGACTTGGTGCTGTCCTTGTACTGAAGATGATTTCGCGATTTGCAGTTTTTAATTCATCTGTTACTTTAAAAATGTCTTTTAAAACTATAACATTCTCTTGAGACTGTTAGTAGATATTATGAAATCATCAACAGTGCTATTTTCTTCTTTTTTTGTAAATTGTCTTCAAGATATGAAGTATTGTCTTTTATAAAAAAGACATTTAAAATTGCTGCTGTGCTGCAATTACTGCTCTGTGCATCCCTGTAAGTGAGGCAGTGATAGGATATCATAACGATTCTTGGCAATGTGAATACAGGAGCAAAGAATAAATTGTGTTTTATTAGGGGATGTTTAAAAATATTGTTGTCTAGAAAAGGAAATATGAGATTAAAGGCTGGAAGGGGTTTCACACTTTCAGCCTTGGAAGTAATTCATGAAAGTTGATAAATACGGGTTGGACAGGTCACAGTGATACTATCCTGCTCTTGGGCAGGAAGTAGCCTGTCTTACTGAAATTCTATTTATAACTTAATGGATGAAATGGAACATTAGGGGTTTTTAAGCATCTGTTTCTCTAGATAAAATGAAAAACCTTTTACAGAAAAAACCACCCAGCAAACTAAGAGAAGGTGATTTTCTGTAGATGATCCCCAGTAAACTTCGCTACCACAGCTACTACACTCCATCACAACTGGTAGGATGCAGCTGTGTGCTGCAGTTAGTGATTCCAGCGCTTGCACAGTAGCAGTGAACACGCTGACTGTTTCACATCGGCTGGCCAGCTGGAGTGCAGAAAATGAGCTACTCTGCCCTCAGTGGCTGCAGTAAAAGGATGTTGTCTTATTTTCCTGCAAAGCTCCTGGCTGCATTTGCAGAACTTACAGGAATGTAATTCTTTGAGACCTCTGCTCCTCTTTCAGACTTGTCTGCAGTTGACTAATAACTTGTTCAGAAGTTATTAGGGAATGGATAGTGAGACACCACAATTTCATAAGACTCATTTCTTCAGGAAACTCGATTGAAAGTTAAGCAGCCAACTTCAGTTGGAGTCACAATCTTTGAATCACAGTGGGTCAAATACTGATTCCTCTGAAGACAGTGAGAGAAGTCAAGATTGTTCACCCTTTCTTTTTAGTTTTCCTGGTTCTCTGTATGCAATAGCGAGTGGCTCAGAGATGGCCAGATTCCTGCGGGTTAATGAGGAGGCATTTGCAGACGAGAAATGACAATCTGGTTTTAGGTTTGAACTGTTCTGCAGTAAGGGTACCTGTTGGGGTGGGGGGATCAAAGGTCTCAAAATCAAAAGCGTTTGAAAATTGATACAGAGGATTAACTCTATTATCTTATCTTATTCTGTAGGGCCGAATTCATCAAATCGAATATGCCATGGAAGCTGTGAAACAAGGCTCAGCAACTGTGGGGCTGAAGTCGAAAACACATGCTGTTTTGGTTGCTCTCAAGGTACCTTAAAAACTGTCTTTTCAGGACAGTAATGTCAGTAGAAAAGTTTTGGTTTGGCAAATCAGTGTTGCACAATCTGAACCTTTATGTGTAGTGTAAATGTGATCCCAGTTTCCTTTTGCTTGAGTACCAGTATAGAGCTGTAAATATTTTCAGTACCTATGCAAATCGGATTTTCACAATATGGTGAAGGAAGTTAATGAAATCTTTTTTTCTTTTTAAAACAGTTGTTCCTCTTTTTTGTTTTAATTAGTTCAGTAGTAAAACTATTTATTTCTTTTCCCAGAGCTTGAGTATCCGTTCTTTCTTTCATTTTGACAGTTTCCTACTGAAGTGGAATTAGATTTTTCTTGTCTTCTCTTGCAAGTTTATGATTTTTTTTTTTTGGCTTTTTATGATTTCATGACCATATTCAGTTTTTGCTATAAATGTTAGCAGATTTCTCCACAATGCTTGGCAAACTGTGCAGTCTGCCACAGAGCTTTCTCCTTTTATGCACAGAGAGCACAGTCTGAACTGGCAGCTCATCAGAAAAAAATCCTGTACGTTGACAACCATATTGGTATCTCAATTGCTGGACTTACTGCTGATGCAAGACTCCTGTGGTGAGTATCTTAGTTGTTGACATACACAGTTCTGCAACAAGGAGTGAAAGTTTATTTGTCGATTATTGTGAATGAGATTTTATGGTCAGCTAAGGATTAGCTTTGAGTTACTGCTCTGTTTTATTATGCCAAAGACCTCAGCATGAAATTCTGGCAGATTTTTCTCTAGTTGGCAGCAATCTCATTTGTTTGGCCCAAAATTGTGCTCTTTGGTTTTGTTACTAGTAACACAGTCCTGTCTGGTTTTCTCAGCATGATGGGGTTTCCAAGCAGTCTGAGAAAATGCATCACTTGTTTCCTTTAGCAGCTGCTTCTGTGTACGCACATTTAAGAAAGTCACTAAAAACATACACTGCTCTGCGTGTCGGCTTCAGAGGGGCTTGCTTTTTACCTGCTAGCCACATGGTTTCATCAGATGAGCTACACGTACACGGAAGGAGGAGTGTTTCTCAGTTTGAGAGGAAAGGACAAAGAATCCATAGGAAGAACTTCTAGTATAAATTTTGATTGTCATAATGTTACAAAGAAACTTCACCTTTTAACTGTGGCTTTTTTTCCCAGGTGATCCACCTGTTGCCTTCTACCTTCTTTGCATTTGTGTGGCTGAAATCCTGTAACACTCTGTCAAACGTGGTCAGCTTTCTAAATGACAAATTATGGGTCATGATATAATGAAATTGTCATGCTTTGACCCTCTTTCTCAGTGAGCAGAGCTGAAACAAAACTATACTTACCTAAACAGAAAGTATTGACATGAAATCTCATTGTGGATTGTGACTTTCATTTGCGCGTTGGTGTGATTTTTTTTTTTTTTCTTCTTTCCTTTTTTCCCCTAGTAACTTCATGCGTCAGGAGTGTCTGGATTCTAGATTTGTGTTTGATAGACCTCTTCCAGTTTCTCGCCTAGTGTCACTAATTGGAAGCAGTATCCTTTTTTTAACACTTAAAATACTTCTGTACCATTTTACTTGTCCATACTTGTTTGTAAAATGATTTTCATATATCACAGCTTAAAAGTATTCATTTGAAAAAGTTCATTCAAAGTTAATTTTTCTTTATTAATATTGCCTGTGTATTCTTTCAGAGAGTATCCCATAATGTGCATGCACTGACAGAGCAGGAATAAAGTGCTATGCAACATTCAACATAGCACTGTTTTTCTGTTCTACAGCCCCGTGCCTCTGGAGGTGGGGCAGGAAAAATGACTGCACTGTTCAGAATACGATCGTTTACTGGACTGCAGCTGCTCGCTCAGATCTTTAGGGTTTTTTTCTGTAGCAACTTCTGTCTGTGCATGGAGCACAACAGAGACCTCGTATTCTGTTATAAGATGCCTAGAAAAGGAATTCAAAGGGATAAGAAATTCGATGAGGCTGTGCAGCATTAGGTGAACTGTTTGTTTTGCTTTGTTGAATGCACCACTCAGTTATTTTGGGAAAGCTAATTGCTAAATTTTTCTTTTCACGAAAAAGAAGTCTGTTCCAAATAAGTCCTGAGATCTGTTTCTTTGAACGTAGTCTTCACTGCTGTGAAAAGATTTTCAAAGACTATATTGCAGTTTTGGTGCATCTCTGCTTTGCTTAGGGAAATGTTTTGGATAATTAAGGTGTTATTTTAAGATTGTTTCCTTAGCTTACTTAAGAAACCCAGATACCAACGCAGCGTTATGGCAGAAGACCATATGGCGTAGGACTGCTCATTGCAGGTTATGATGTAAGTAAGCTGTACTAGTTACTATTGCTATAAAAGAAAAGGCGCTTAATGCAATTTTATACCACAAATAGATGTTAAGAGGGGAAGACGGAAGAGGAGAAGAGGTAGACTTATCAAATAAGGAAATAATTTTTTATATCCTACCCTAAAATGTAACTTTAAAAAATGTCTATTAAGAGGTAATCCCTCTTATGCATATGAAGTGTATTTTTGCAAAAAAAAGGAAAAGCTCATTATTTAAGATATAAAAAGAGATAGTGCTAAAATTCGATTTGTTTGTGCTTTAAGGGATCAAAATGTTGATCTTATGATGACAGTAATTATTTTACCAGTGATTATGGAGCTTTACAAACCACTATTTTAATACTTTTAATAAAAAATGAATGTGGAAATCATCACTGGCGTCTTTCTTGTTTAGCAACAGCAGTTTGCTTAATGCCGCACACACAGTGTCTCTGCCCTGAAGATTTTTGACATGAGGATTGTTGAAGGAAAATCACCGTGCCTGAAATCTTGGATGCCATGGTTAAATCTGCAGCAGGCTTTTACTTTTGTGCAGACAAGAGAATGTGTAAAATACCTACTGCAAGCCATGAAATAGGAAGCATACATAAGGACAATACAGTCTGTGGAAGGGAGACAGAAACATCTTTTGTGCCACCTATCCTGCACCCATAAAAACTGAATTTTAGTGAAAACATGTAAAGAAAAGTTGAGGTTTGGTTGGTTGTTTTGTATGGTTTTTGAGTTTTGTTTTGAAGGAGTTGTGTAAGAACAATGGTATAATAGGCAGTGTAAAATATATATAATCGTCATACATACGAGCTGTGAGGTGTACCATGAAGCAGAGCTATGTTTTAGAAAATGTCACGTGTTCCAGCAGGAGACCCTGGTTCTATGTTCTGTGGGTTTTTTGTGTCTTTATAGGATATGGGTCCTCACATCTTCCAGACTTGTCCCTCTGCAAACTACTTTGACTGCAAAGCAATGTCCATTGGTGCTCGTTCACAGTCAGCACGAACTTACTTGGAGAGACATATGACTGAATTTACTGACTGTGAGTAATGAAACCCTGTCTGTATAAAGGTGTTCATCAGTTCTGCAGTTTTTCTGCTAATGCACCATTCTTCTGCATTTAGTAAGGTAGGAAGATGAAATTGGGGAGCCAACTTTGTCCTAAGTGTAAATCTGTATGAAGACAAAAATTGTAAAGAAAGTATTACTAATCTTGATATCTAACATCTGGATGCTTATTACATCTTATGAAAGCAGAATTTGTGCTCAGAAAAGCAGAGAAAAAAATAAAATGCCTGTTTAGCTCGGGGAATGGACAATTCTTTCCATTTCAGAGCAGAGATAATATGTCAGGGCAAGTACTTAGGTGATGCATTTAAAATTTTATATAAACAGTGGTGAGAAGGTATCTTCATTTAGGCACTTGTTCGATCCCCCAGTGACCTCTCTCCACCTGAGGTGGAGAATCAGGAAAAGGCAAGGAGATCCGTGGATTGCAATAATAACAGATTTAAATAGCAACAATAAAACAATAATAACTAGTATTAATACAAAGCTATACTCAGCCCATACAGTGGTCACAGCAAGTGAGGAAGCAGGCCTCAGGAGCAGAATGACAGATGAGACCCTCTGGGTCTGGTTGTCAACTAGGAGTGGGAATAAAGGAGAATGACTGTCAATATGTTCAGTAAATGTCTTTCTGATTTCATTTGAAGGTAATCTAAATGAGCTAGTTAAACATGGACTGCGTGCCCTGAGAGAGACTCTTCCTGCTGAATCTGACCACCAAGGTGAATACGAGGTTTTCTTAACAAGAACTTTTACTGCCATTGTTGTTAACAATTACCATGAAAAAAATCATGTAAGGTATGACTGGTACTGAAATTTGGAAGCTGAACACTGGGAGATAATATCATCTTCATCTCATATGTCACCATTTATTTACAGTTTAATTATCTCAGATTTCATTTTTAACAAAAATTACACTTGCTCTAAATAAGACATTGTTTCCCTGGTTGCTTCATTCTATTTTAAACTTTGGTTAGTGGTTAAGATGCATGATGTGCAACTGGAACCACAACTTTGCATTGTAAGCACAGTAAAAACTTCTGGCAATGAATTGAAGAACTGTTGAAGTAGAAAATTCTAAGGATGTCCATTAATTGGTGGCGTGGCTGGTCTGCCCTTTTCAGTGCTTAACTTTTTTTATTCTTAGCCCACCTTGTGCATTAGAAGTCTTAAAATAATGAAAATGCAAAATAAGAATAAAATAAGTGGTTTTGACAAACTTATTAAAAAGAATACAAAAAAAATTGAAAGAAATTGGATTCTTTGAAAAGTGGTTTTAGGTACAAGATTTTGAAGTGTTAGCTTTTGTAGGGAGTAAATCTGCCTCCCTTTCCTTTGCTCGTACAATCTACCAAAGAGAGTGCCTCTCAGAATTTCCTTTTGTCCTTAAGTAGACAAACAACCCAAATGAGTCTCTTCATCACAGGAGGAAATACTCATCTGTTTCTCAGGCAGAAGCTGTAAATCCACAGTGTTATTAGCAGAAAAGTGCTTCTCACTTCTTTCAAAACTGTGCTTAACAGAATGTTTCCATTGGAATTGTTGGCAAAGACATGGAGTTTACCATCTATGACGATGATGACGTAGCACCATTCCTAGAAGGTCTTGAGGAGAGACCACAGAGAAAGGTTTGTGTTTTACATAGAAATAAATAGCCCTTTTTTAAAGGCAACATTTCCTGATATATGACCTATCACATCTATGTTTATGACATTTAATACTCTCTGTTATTCTAGGAGAGTTTTAGAAATGTGATTTTAAAATCTGAAATTACTACATGAACATACAATCTTAGCTGGAGACTGAGATTTAAATTAAATTAATTTATGCTGAACTGTGATGGGCCTTTCCAAAGTCATTGTCTTTCCTCATCTGTGATCAAGTACTGGTTTTCATTTTTTTTGCAACAGAAGTGACTACGTATGTTCCTCATGTCTGCCCCAAGGTGCATCTTCAGTCTCCTAATTACCAGCTCTGTCCTGCTTCATGCTTATTGTGGGTCACACTACTTTGTAAGCTGTTTGCTGACATGAGCTGCATTGATGTCCTCATGATGCTTAATCCAGGATAAAGCTGATTTGTCGAGTGTTGTTTTCTGCCATCTCCTAATATGTATTTTTTCCTCTTTAAGCCTGCTCCACCTGCTGATGAACCTGCAGAAAAGGCAGAGGAGCCCATGGAGCACTAGTTGGTGGATGAGTTCCTCTGTGTTAACGTATGTCTAATTATACAGGAACGTTTATCCATTTGCTGGTAAATTTATCCTCACCTATATGCGTTTTCTGCTGATACATTCTGAGGATTACTCTTCAAAAAGAAAGAAACCAAGCCACCTATCCTTAAAAGGTAGACAGGAGGTCATAATTTGGTGTATTTTCTTTGACAAGAAAGGTGTAATCATTTTCTAAATAGTACATGATACTGTTTTTTAACAAAAAGCATACTGTCTTTAACTTGTAAGGACAAGTGGAAATAAATCACTTTCTTGGAATCTGCTGTGGGTTTGGTTTTTTTAATCTGAACAAACGCCTATTCAGATACTTAGGTCACATCAAGGTGCCATTGTGTATTCGATCTGTTGTCAACGTGAGCATTTACTTATTCTGTATAAATGCAGTGCTCTTGGGAACTGTTGAACTGTTGACTTGAAAATGCCTACAGAACTACAAAATAGCTGTGGAACAAATAGGATGCAACATGTTTCCCCACATTGTCTTCTCATTGTCTCAAACTCAGCTTGAAAAGACATTCGTAGTCATGTTTACCAGAAACACTGCAGGCTGAGTAAACATGAAGCTGCCATCCAGCTTGTGTTTCGGTTTTTTGAATTCTCTGCCTTAGTAAACCCCAGCTCACGTGGAACCAAAATGAATCGCTTTATTTCTTCAGAGCCATCAGCCAGGCATGGGGTAGTGAAGGGCTTTTACCTTGCTAATGGCCTAAAGTGAAGTAAAGAGGGAAGCACATAAAATTACCATTACAGATCCCCTGAGCTACGGAGTCTGTGTTGCTGCTGCAGAAATGGGCTCTCCAGGGTTTTGTCCCTTCAGCTTGCTCTGAGAGGCACCTGGTGCCCAGTTGGATTCAACCTGAATGCCACAAAGTTTGAGACTAACAACGACTTCTTCAGGGATGTCTGGCAGGGAAGCACAGTGAGTTGGCGCCTCTGAGGTGCAAAATGGGCACGAGGCTGCATTTTAAGGAAAAGGAGTTCAGCATTGTATTTTTGTTCATTTTCCATATTGGATCATACTCTTCTAATTAGTCTAATGAATACATTGGAAAGGATAAGAGACAAGTATTTTTGGGTGGACTTGCATAGGGGCATGATATCCTGTTCAATGTACTTTAAAAACAAAACAACAACAAAAAACCTTCAAAACCCCAAAAACTAAAACCTTGCATCTTTTATTTCTTCTGTTATAAAGCATGGTGCTGTTTGAAAGAGGCTTTAAATACTGTGTTGAATCCGTTTAAATAGCTCAGTCATGAAAATATTAGTAATAATGGCAGGGCAGTTTGGTTTTAAGCACTGGACAAAGCCGCTTTTAATTTTTTTCCTATTCTTTTTTTTCTCTATTTCTATTGTTTTCCCCCTATTATTTTCAACTTCTTTTATTCCCCTATTATTTTCATATTGCACCCCCATTTTTTCCTCATTTATTTTTTTCCCCTCACTTTCCCCCCATCTCTTTTTTCTCCATTTTCCCCATCTTTATTTTTTAACGCCTTTTAATTGTTATTATTTCCCCCCCATTAATGGAGGTAAGGAAGCTGTCCCGAAGGCGCGCTAAAAACCCACCCCGCCGCAGTGCCAATGACGTCAGACGCAGCTTACGCTCCCCAATTGCCCCGCCTTCCGCCTTCGTGGCGGGCCTAGCTCCCACTCCTTCCCAGCCCGCACGGTAACGCAAAGGGGC